ACAGCGAAGAAACAGCGCAGACCCGATGCTGCCCGCGCGCCCCAGTCTCTCGACCTCATTTTTCACATCATCTGGCTTTCAAGAGAGGGCCTAGTGATGCTGCAGCAATATGTGATTCCTATGGTGGGAAACCATACAGAACTCCGGGTATTGGCGTACAAGCTACGAGCATCGTTCTACCACATTTTCGTCCTGTTTCACAACAAACCTGCAGTGTCCACTATGGGCATCGCAACTCCAGACACAATGGCCGGATTGACCCCACCAAGGATGGACAAGGGCAAAGGAATCGCAAGGGAGGATTGGAACTCATCGCAGGGCTCAATACAGCCCACACATGCCCTCGAGGGCGGTCCAGTGAACCCTCCGCCGGGTTTCGCTCCTCGAAGCGGCTCCGACCAACCCGCCGCCTTCCTCGAGCCGCCGAGAGATTACCTCCCCGAAGCGCACAAGTACTTCAAGGAGGCGATTGCTCTGGCTGACCAACACCTCTGGGGGTCGCATTCATTACGACTCTCCGTCAAGACCGAATACGCCGCGTTCCTTTACGAGTGTGTGCACGACGCTGACGGGAGCCGAAAACTGGCCAAGGATGCCATATCCGAGGTCTATGAAGCGACCGAGGGCATGGATGATGACATGTTTTCCGATGCTTGTGAGCTGGTTACTGTCCTGGGCAAGATGATGAAGCGGGGGCTTGGGTCAAGCAATAACACTTTGACTAGAGGAACAAGTCCTAGTCCAGCTGCACCTCCAGGAACGACAATGGCCCCCGGCATGGAGAACCCTATCTGATAGACGGTATGTCTCAATGGTGGCTATTCTATGACTTGGCTAGGAGGTACTCGATATCACTCAACCCCCGGTCACAATATTCTCTAGAGAGGCGCAGCTTGATGGTGGTGGCCATAGACTCCTGCTCCGACCGACGGCGAAAGCTGCGCTCGGGTCAGGCATGATGACCTCTCATGCAATGCGTCTACGGTTTCCCTTCCACAGGCTTCTTCGATGTACAAGATTCAGCTCGAAAATACTACTGCTACAGCGGAGTCGAGCAGGCTAAGGGGGGCGTTCTCGAAAACTTTGAGCGCACACAGCATCTCAAACGGCGCATTGGGTGGACATCATATTACAGCAGACTCCCTTGGATAGTTTCCAAGGGCTGCTTATCTGTACTTATATCTTGGATACGGCGAGAATGGGAGGCGAATTGATACGGTGGGAGTTTTCGACATGCACCATGTATAAGATGGCTGCTTTTTGTTGTAATGGTTGATTCCCATTGATACCCCCCCCATCCTCTGCGGTGGCTGGTGGTGGTAGTAGTCTGCACCTTTTTCTATAGAAGCTTCAAAATTTGGTGATTTTTCTGCAAACCGAAATGCTGTGAGATCAAATCCACACCATTCACTACCAGTAAATTGAGATGCAAAAGCAGTTCATCGTGAGTATCAGTATGGAAATAGGGTTCTCTCTCTCTCATATTCATCCTTCTCTCCCCAAACCCTACGAAGTAGCAGAAAGAAAGAAATAGAGCAAAGGATGGCTGGCTGGATATGGAAAAAGGATCCATAGTCCTCATACGGAGGAACTACCTTGTTACCCAGAGACGACCCAAAACACAAAAATGCAAATTACCACTCCATCTATTCGTTATCCCGAATCCCCAACCCCAATTTTTGATATCCGATAACCCATTTCCATCCGTCTAAACCAGCTGTCCCAAATCAAAGTTGCGATCAAAGTCGCGTAGACGCAAAAAGGTGAGGATGTAACCTTCATCGTCATCATCATTCGTCAGTCGTTACCCTCCTCGAGCCAGGTATCTCATGAGGATCGCATTTCGCAAACAAGCGTAAGAAAGGAGAAAAAAAGGGGGCGTATCAATCCTCGTCATCATCGACGAGAGCATCCTCAGGAGCGTCCCGACCCTCGTAGGGGTCCAACAAATCCTCGCTACCGGCCACCGAGGAGGCCCAACTCCGCACGCCGGCGGCCTTGCCTCGGTCCTCCTCAGCCTCGCATCTCGACTTGATCATGTGAAGCGGCACCATCCGGCCCGTGGCATTGTAAAAGTTGGCCTGCATCTCGAGCCACTTTGTCGCCTCCCTCTTGGACACCACGGCCGCGAGAGTCGCGTCGTCTCGGCGTTGCTGTCTGTCTGCCGGGCTGGGCGCACGTCTATTGGCGGGAGGAGGAAGTGGTCTCTTTCTCTTGTGGGATGCTGCCGGCGCGGGAGGGTAGAGCGCCGGGTGGATGTGGCGGCGGATGTAGCGCTCCTGGCCGGCGAGTTCGCGTTTGTATTGAGCTTGAGGATCGGCGTCGTTGTCGTCTGCGCTGGTAGCGGATGACGTTGACTCGGAGGCCGAGGAGGTGTCGCGGAGGAGGTTGAAGCGGTCTCGGTAGGATGAGCTCGGGGTCTCATCGTTGGTATCGGAGGTAGCAGGCTTTGACGAGTCCTCTGACGGGGCGGGCTCGGCGGGTTTGCCTCTCTGTTTGGGCTCCTTGGGCTTGGACTCGGGTTTCTTGCCCCCAGTATTCTTCACCTCCTTGGAAGGTTTTTGCAGCTCTTTCGCTTCTTCATCAGACTTGGGGGTCTCCTTGTTCTTCTGCTTCTGCTTTTCGGCTTTGCGCTCCGCCTTTCTCTCTGCCTTGGATTTGTAATTGTCATATTCTGACTTCTCTGCTTCATCTTGGCTCCCGTCGGTTTTGGCATCAGCCTCGGTACCGGCCTGGGATTCGGTCTGAGTGGTCTCTTCTCCAGACACTGTCTGAGCCTCGCCTGTGGATTCGGCCGAATTGGCAACGTTGATCTTCAATACGTGCCAGCGCTTCCTGACCTCGTTCTTGCCTCTGTTGATTGCGTTCCCAATGGAAGCCCAGGTCTCACCACCCTCCTTCATGCCGATGATGAGGGCATCCTCTGAGGCTGTCCACTCGCCTGTGGTTGATGATTGGGCACCAGTAGAGGCGTCTTCGCTCTTTGAGGATGCATTGTCGGTTGTACTCTTGTCCTCTGAGGCTGTCTCGCCAGAGGCTGACGACTCAGCCACCTCTGAGTTGGCTGCATCGGATGTGACTACAGAGGAAGTCTCTGCTTCTGTGGCCGACTGGCTTTCTGTGTCTGCGGTCTTGCCCTTCTCGTTTGGCTTATTCTTCAGGCCGACCTCACTATCAGCGGCGTCTATGCTGGCCTCTGAACTCACAATGCTGGTCGACTCCCCAGAAGTGGTTTTGTTATCAGGCTCGGTGAGTTCCTCGACGTCAAGATCTCCGAACAGGTCGACGAGGGTCATGGCGTCATCATCTGTAACTGCTGTGACGGAGGATATGCCATCGTCAACGACTGTGGCAGCCAGATGATTAGCTTTGGTCATTGCGAAAGCATAGGTATGTTGGCTCGTGGAGTGTTGAGGAGATGAATCTGGAATATTCTTTTAGCAAATAATTTGGAAAGGGAAGGTTCGCTGGAATTGTAGCTCACTGTTTGAAGTTTGATCTGCCTGTGAGTATTCTGAAAACCACAAAGCTTTGAGAAACGAAGTCGCTGCTTCCGTTCCGAAATATTGCAATTGTCCGATCCGTAGTGTTCAATCCGCGGAGAGTGACAATGGTGGTTTTTCTTTCAGAAGACGACTTTGATGATGCGCTTGATATATCTGGGTTTGAGGTCGATCGGGTGTTGTTGATGGACTTGATCGTGATGTTGATGAGTAGGTTGTCGGTGAGTTCAGGCTTTGTAAATGCTGTTGAAAACGGCAGTGTAGGTGCAGGATTCTATTGATAGAATGATCAATGAGATTGCCGGCTGAAGAAGTATAAGCTGTGATTGTCACGAGGTGGTGCCTTGTGAGAAATCTGGTGGGTAGCTGAAAGAAAGAACAGAGGGTGAGGTGTGTGGTCGAGTTTGTCGATTGATAAGGTAAGGTAAGGTAGGTGAAGTTGGCAAAGGAGGCAGGAGCGAGAGGTCAGAGGTGGTAGAAATCAACCAGGAAGCTACGATTTCACCAAAGCAGGCAGGAGCAGCGTTCCGTCATCCTTTCCCAAACAGACAGTTATGCCCTGTCGAGGATTAAGTGGGCAATTGAATCAATTCTGTTAGGTAGGTTGGAAAAAAGAAGGAGAAGAGAAATATTCTGCTTGTGGCTGTGGTGAGCACGAACCCGAAAATGAAAACTTGAAGCTGGCTTTGACGGCCAAGATGGGGCAGAAGGACCTCCTTGAAAGCTATTAATATGGCTTCATCAGACTGGCAAAGTGTCAAACTTCAGCTTAAGCGGTTGAATGGGTCCGACCAATCAACGAGCATGAATCATACGCAGTAGCTTGGGGAAGTGTGCGTATGCAGCATCGGCCATGGTGGGACGAAGGGACGAAACGTCGCGGTTCGGGGACCCTTCTCCAAGTTCCCCCTTCCTGGATCGCAAAGTATCCTCCGGTCTAGAACAGGCGAGACTGGGCGGCAGGCGATCTGCCGAAGCATGGAAGCGTGGGGCCAACGGATTGACAGGTTATGGGTCCTGTCGATCTATATGCTGAAAATAGGCGTTAATTGTGCGACGTGGTGAGTGTGACATTGAGTGGGAAGTTTGGTAGAGCCATGGTCTGTTGCGTGGGGGAGTAGGATGTGTGGGAAATATCAAGTCGATGTTAACAACACGGTCCGGGGATTGGTCCACGGCAATGAGGACGAGGTGAGCCTCTGACCTCTGATGCAGGTCCGGGTGACATGTGAGCGATGGCCAATCATGCCCCGGGCTTACTCATCGTCCTGAATGGAACCCGCCGTCGGTGGTTGCATTCTTGATTTCGGTCTCTGAAAGGGCGACTAGCGGCTTTCTCTCTCACTGGCCAAGAAGTTCTCGCAAGGCCTGAAACAGCAACCCATCTCTTCCCTCACCAGCGATCTCCGTTCAAACTCACTCATCCCAACACCCTCCCGTTGAACACACCCACCATATCCCACCTCATACTATCACATAATCATCGCACACACCAAAATGGCAGCGTCGTCTTCACTGCCCGATCTGCCACCCAATTACCTCAAGGCCCTCGAGCTGATCGACGAGGCCCACAAGCAAGATCCCAGGCCATCGTCCGTTGAATCGGTTCCTTTTGAGCTTCACTATGCCCAGAAGATGACGCGCTGGCTCGCCGTCAGGTCTCCGGCGGCCCCTCCGGTCCTACAACTGGCCTGCCGAGCCCAACATTTCAGGAGGTAACATTGCGCAATCAAGCATTCCTTTCTTATTATACTTTTTTTACCTTTTTTTAAACAAGCAATTATAAGCATCACAATGTGCATGTTAAGCATATCACGTTGATGAATAAGACCCCTTTCCAGTCATAGTTACCTAACAAGCCTCATTATCTGACTCACCTGATTTGCGAACCGTAGATGGGAAATCCCGCGCAACACATACCCAATGACCCGTCCGGGCTACCTCACCTGGCGCGCGAAGCTCAAGTCCCAAGCCGCCGCTCAGGTGGCTGAGCTCCTCGCCTCATCGCCCGGCATCCAGCCCGCCATCCCCCAGGAGGACGTCGACCGCGTGGCGGCACTTATCCGCAAGGAGAACCTCAGCAAGGACGAGGAGACGCAGGTGCTTGAAGACGTGGCATGCCTCGTCTTCCTCGACGATCATTTTGACGACTTTGAGAGCAAAGAGGAGGTTGACGAGGATAAGATTATTGGCATCCTGCGCAAGACGTGGGCCAAGATGAGCGAGGAGGGGCACGCGCTGGCGTTGAAGATGAATCACAGCGAAAGGGCATTGAGTCTGATCGGCAAGGCTTTGGCGGGGTGATGTTGATCTAGCTTCATATGAGGGAGAGGCTTTGGAGAGGTAATTCCACATGAAAAGAAATAAAAATAATTCTCCCACCACGGGACCTCCACAACCAACAACCCAATGCGACATCGGTGATTTACAGTGATGACGAGCTCTATATCCGTGCATCTTTAGCGAGCGAGAGAATCTCCCCGCGGGCCCTGAGGGTGCAATCCACCCCCGCCTGCATGGGGGGCGGCCATCATCCAAGGGCAATTGCCAGAGTCGCATCAAAAGGGAAACCCGGGGAGGACGGCACGCTGCAGCCCCACCATCCCGAGGGACCCTCTCGGCGCAATACCGCCCGAAATCGACTACCCCCTTCGGCCCCGGGACATGTCAGACTACGCCTTGGCGCCCGGCCCGCGACGACATACAAAGACGGTGATGCAAGTCTTCACCTCTCAACATCATCCCTCTTTCTGACGCCATTCTTCTACCCATCTCACCTATACTCCTATGATAAGAACATGCCCCCTCTTACACTGACGCCGGCCGAGGTATCAAAACACAACCGCCTCGACGACCTCTGGCTCGCAATCGACGGCGCCGTCTACGACTTCACAGACTTTGTTCGCGAACACCCGGGCGGCATCGCCGTGATTCTCAAGTGCGCAGGCAAAGACGCCACTGAAGTCTACTCTGAAGTCCACGGGCCCAACCTGGTCAAGTCGACCATTCCCACCTCGCACCACAAGGGCGTCCTACCCCCGGGAGCCATCATGGCGAAACCTCAACCTCACAAGTGGCCGCAGCAGCAGCAGCAGCATCGAGATCCATCCCAAAAACAAGACAGCCAAATACCACCAACACCACCAACCATGCCCTCGAAACCTCCCCTCACAACCCTCATCAGCGCCCACGACTTCGAATCCGCAGCCTCCACCTCCTTCTCCCCCAAAGCCTGGGCCTTCGTCTCCTCCGCCGCAACAGACCTCTTCACAAAAACCCGCAACGCGACCCTCTACTCCCAAATCACCCTCCGCCCCCGCGTCCTCGTCGACGTCGCCGCCGTCTCCACCGCCACAACCATGCTCTCCCACCCGATGCGCGCCCCCATCTTCTGCCCGCCCACCGCAATGGCCCGCCTCGTCCACCCCGAAGGCGAAAAGGAACTCGGCCGCGCCTGCAAATCCGCCGGCGTCCCGCAGTGCGTCTCCGTCTCCGCCTCGTTTCCGCTCGAGGACATCCTCGCCGCCCAGCGCGAGCACAAACCCGCAACTCCCTACGACGTCCCCGTCTTCTTCCAGCTCTACGTCGACAAGAACCGCGCCAACTCGGAACGCCTGCTGCGCTCCGCCCAAGCACAGGGCGTGAAAGCCCTCTTCCTCACAATCGACGCCCCGATCCCCGGAAAACGCGAGGCTGACGAGCGCGTGGCCTCCGACGAGTCCCTGGGCTCCCCCATCTCCGGCGCCCGCGCCGTCAACGACGCCAAGGGTGGCGCCCTCGGCCGCATCATGGGCAGCTACATCGACGCCTCGGTGAGCTGGTCCGACATTGCCTGGCTGCGCCGCACCGTCCCGGGTCTCCCCATCGTCCTCAAGGGCGTGCAGACGTGGATGGACGCCGAGCGGGCCGTCGAGGCCGGTGTCGAGGCCATTGTCCTCTCCAACCACGGCGGGCGGAGCCTCGATACCTCCCCTGCGACCATCATGGTGCTGCTGGAGCTGCAGAAGAATTGCCCGCACGTGTTTGACAGGGTCGAGGTGTACGTGGACGGCGGCATCTCGCGTGGGACGGATATCTTCAAGGCCTTGTGTCTTGGTGCTAAGGCCGTGGGTGTTGGGAGGGGTTTGTTATATGGGCTTAATTATGGTGCTGAGGGCGTGGAGCGATACATTGAGAGTAAGTCCTTTTTTTTTTTCGAATACCATTTTGTCGCAGATTTCTGGGCGAATGCATACGCTGTGAGATGTATAACCGGAATACTGACTTATTCGTAGTCCTGCGAGACGAACTGGAAACGACGATGAAAATGTGCGGTGTCACAAACCTAAACCAAGTCCACCCAGGTTTCCTCAATACCTTTGCCGTGGACCACCTCATCCCGGGACGACATGATAATCCAAATACACCCTGGCGCCGTGATCTACACAGCAAGCTGTAATTAGTTTAACGATTATGAAACCCAACGCACAAGCAGTTGACTTGTCTCACGACATCTCTTGGCAATCTCATGGTTTATATATATCTCAATTGCATTAGAGAGGGTTTCATACGCCCATTGAGGCCATGTAAAAGACTTTGGGTATTACATATACACATAACGATAGTTGCCCCTCCCTCCAAAGAATCCTGTTCAACACCACTGCCGACTACACGTTCACAACAGCATTTGAGAGCGTGAGCTTCGTATCCGTTTCAGCACCCCGCATTCATACTTGAAAATTAAATCCATCATTAAACCAAAACATCGACTGCGCTTTTCCACATTTGCCCGCCTCAGTCCACACTGACAGCCATTCAAGCCAACTCACGCAGCTCATTGTCGCCCCTGTGAGCAGGCAACTCAGACGCGAAGCCCGGCTGCTGGTGCTGGTGCTGCTGTGGTGCAGGTGGCTGTCCTTGAGCGGGAGGTGGTGCGTTGTAGTAGCCCCCTTGCTGTTGCGGGGGCTGCTGCTGGGGAGGATACGTTCCCTGCGTCGGGCTGACGCTGTTCTGAGACGGCACGTACTGCGGCACACCGGACTGGTAAGTGGGCGAGGGGCTCATGGGTGGCGGGCTGGCGGGCGGGCTGACGCCGTTGTTGCTCTGGTCGTAGGATCCCGTGGTGACGTCGTAGTGCTGCTTCATCATGCTCTGTCTGTTATTGTTGTTGTTGTCCACAGGTGTGAAGCCCTGCGGGTAGTGTCCCTGCTGTTGCTGGGGAGGGTATCCTTGGGGCGACGGCTGCTGCGCTGGGGGACCAGGCTGCTGGTACATCTGCGGCTGTCCCTGGTTGGGCGGCGGGGGTCCGACATAAGACTGGTGGGCGGCCTGATTGTTGTTGACGTTGTTGGTGTCCTTCTTCTTCTTGCGGAGGAGGAAGATGATGCCGAAGACGATGAGTGCGATAGCCGCTACGCCTCCGACGACGCCGCCCACGATAGCGCCAACGGGAGTGGACGAGCCGCCGCCGCCGCCACCACCACCGCTAGACGTGCTAGTAGTCGCTGCAGACGTAGCAGTGGTTGATGCGATGTTGCGGAGGGAGGTTGTTGACGGTGCTGTCGTCGACTCTTGGGTGACGGAAGAATCTGTAGGGTTTGCGTAGACAACAATCACTTCCTCGGTGGCAGCGCATGCATAAAGGGTATAACGGTTGAACAGCGAGCCCGAGTAGATGTAAGTGGCACACTCGGGTCTTTCCGAGGCAGTGCTAGAAGCATTCGTATGAGACATGGTTCACGTAGGAAAAGAAGAGCGACAGTATAACGTACCAGAGCTGCATACGAGTATCACCACTGCTGGCGCGACTAGCCGACCTTGATGGGAGACAGCTCGTAGCAATTGTGGTGCAGTCTGTGACTGAGGAAGAGCTACAGCAACCAACAACAGAATAGAAGCTGTTGATGACACAGGATCCAGTACCGCAGTAGATGGAGTTGGCTAGAGAGACGTCAGCATCCTTTGCAAACCACCATTCTCTGTTCATCATAAGATCGTATACTTACTAGCTTCTCCAGAGATGTAACCACAGGTGTCGTCGCCTCTTACACGCTTGGCCAGCTTCAGGTCGACATTGCCGGGCTCAGGCGCCGCAGTGGGCTTCGGACTGAAGCCGAGCTCCTCCATGTTCATCGCAGCAATGGTCTGCCTGGGTGGAGACCAGCTTGGGGTATCGTCCTGCCATCTCAGCGCCTTGGACTCCACGCCCAGGTACAAGCAAGCAAGAGCTCCGAGTTGAATGAATCTCCCCATGTTGAAGCTGTAACGATCTGTTTCCTGTGTCTTTACAGAATAATACGATGTGGAGGAAAAGTGCGAGAAAAAGGGGGGAGAAGGGAGGGATAAGAAGAGAGACGAGGGCTCCAGAGAAGGATGCGGGAGAAAAGGGAGACAGATACAGCCAGCCGGGCAATCCCAGCTCGGGCTGAGATGAAAAGTTACCGAATAGAACGCGCCCTGCGGGTGAGCCAATAGACCATGGCGTCCAACAACGCCAATGAGGCTCAAAGGAGGGATACACCAAGGGTCCAGCTCCAAGTCTCCTGCACTTGACCGTTCGTATCTTGGCCCGGGGTATAGAGGCTGGTTGGGATTGGACCATGTGGAAACTCCGCCTCGTGAGGTGCGGGTATGGACCGATGCGCGTTGGTAGCGTTATTCGACCAGCCTGGCAAGGCAGACAGCCAGATGATCATTCCAAAGCCGTTTTTCTTTTCTGAGACCTAGTTACATATCTCGTCGAGTTGACTCAAGGGGGTAGATCTCACGTACCTTTGCCCCTCTTTTGCTCACTTACATGGAGATCACTTGATCCAATTCGTGTCTCTTGCGCAGCTTCGTACGCTTTCGACTCGCGACTGAGGAACTCACTTGAGTCTTGATAAACTCCTACGGATACGGACTGTAAGCAACAAACAAGGCTTTGCGCCCTATGTCACGACAACTCATCTTTGGTGATGAGCTTTTGGCGTGATAGCGGTGTGGTGGAGTCTAGCGGTGCCCAAGACAAGACTATCATGGCCTTTAGCCCGAACCGGAGAATGTGGCTTGCAGCTGAAGGCAGACCTCAGTCCAGCTCCTGGTCAACTCGCCAAAACCACCCAATCAGATGTCGGCCAGCTGAAATGCGTGCAGCGAGCTTGACTGACGATCCCGTGTAATCTTTGCCGAAAACCCCGGACGGGTTGACAGGCCCCTGTTGGCAACGACTCGGACAGCCTTGAATGTCGAAAAAGGGTTCCGTCGCGCCCCGCCTGGCTGTTAAACTAAGGGTCTCTCGCATCCACAGCGGAATCGGAGTCTTTGCGCGGAACGCGCCCAGAAACAACGCAATTTAGGCATCCTTTGCGCGCCAGGTGCTTTTAATCCATACCGTCGCCTGGCCCCGGCTACATTCTGCCGGTCCGCCGGCAACGGACAACAATGATGGAACGCTCGATTGTGCGACAGCATCAGGCAGAGTAGCTGAGACTCCATGAGAAGTGTTGAAAAGCTCTCATCTTCAAGACGAAACGACTGATTCTTGAAGCCGAGCCGAGCTTTTGTGGCTGGCTTGGAGAATTTCTGCTCTTCATGTAGCCAGCCCGGGTGCTCACGTGTATGTGATCTATCAGAAAACATAGTTAGCATGGTATGCTTATACGGAGTAGATCATCATCTCGTTTTCCAAAACAATGCATATGAAACAAGAAGAAAACCAGCAGGGTCTTTCGCAACATCTCATTAGGTATTCTCCAAATGATCGAACCGCCGAGTGGCTTAGAAAATCGAGAGGCTCGTTGTCTGATATCAAAATCTCACTTCAGCTTTCTTTTCGTTCCATTTCGGTGAAAATGGTAAACAACCGAGGTGATTTGCTACGGCTATTTAGTTTAGAGAGTCAATTCCAACCAACACTTGACGAGTATCAACGCTTGACAATTTTGCCGTGTAGCAATGAGTCGCGATTCGCAACTAACGGGCGACCCGACAAGAAGTCGAGCTGTCGATTGGCATAATGAATTCGGTTCCTAGAGATCAAATGTTGCCATATGAGGCAGTGACTTTCAGAACTTCCCACGATCGTTCTCTCGTGACGCGGGAAGCGGCTGATTCTTGAGCCGCGAAGCGGAGACAACGGTATGAAATCGAAGGCGCTTGAGTCCTAACGCTGGACTACGTTGTGGCCTGTTTGCTCATTGAAAAGAACTGGTCATGGCTTGGAGTGGCTTCACAATCGTCTCCATCTCACTGTACCTAGTCCTCGCTGGCAAGTCGATCTGAGTTAGCATCGAGGAACGACCGATCAGGCCACATCGCGGACGTCTCTTCTTTGGATGATCCGGTCGATCATCGGATGTTCTGGAAAGATACCAAATCGGCAAATTTGACATCGGTAACCAACGCCATCTCGGACGATGGATACCCCTAGCTTGCTGGGCCATCGAATGCCACAGCGGCAATTCGAGACGACGCAGTGTATAAAGCAACGGCGTGATATCAGCCATAGAATTGGACACAAATTTGTCAGAAACTTCGATGGCGGCTTCTAAAGAAGAGCGTCTGAATCGGTATTGGGGCGATGATGAGCACCATGGACGGCTCTTGCGGCGCGCCACAGGCCGTAGCCTCTCAACTACCACACGAAATGGCAATAAAAGTTTCCGAAAGTTGCAGGGTCAAAGGACTGTCTGATGAAGAACCGAGACGGATCGACGTGAAGGCATGCAGCTGGATAGACAATGACGGTGTCGGGTCAGAAGCTTACACAAGCGTTACTGTGCCTTTGCCGGTCTGGTCCGATTGCAAGTGAGCAGGAGGATAGCCTTGAATCCTATCGTATTTCCACCGTGAGCTTTCTTTTCGTGCCATTCGGAGTTCATTGCCTACATCCGCTCGGCTAGGCGAAGCCGCGAACGACAGCAAGTTGTCGACACGGTGACCCCGTGCAACTCGATGGTTATCGCTGAATTTTTTCCAGCCTACAGATGAAGTCAATTAGGAATCCAACGTAGCCCGACATTCCAAATTCAACTCGCGAGCAACTCCCAGCTTCCGAGAGAGTTCATCACCCCTCGGAAATGAACTGCATCCCGTTTTGGACCCTCAGCTGTGCGACACTCGTACATGATGGACCATTTGTAACATACCGAGTCCTGCAGGGGTAACATCTGGTCCTTTGTGAAACCATGAATGTGTAATCGTACCACTGTGACATAGTTGAAGCATCTCGCAGGACACAAGTAAATTGTGACCAAAGCTACTTCGATTCTGTAGCGATGAGTGCCTAGTCCATGCAAGATCCGTATAGCCCGAGACAATGAGCCAAGGGCTGGAATTTGGCAACTACTGGGCTACAGAAGGAGTGCGTGGATTTCCAGAGGATGTGCTAGACGCAGGCAACAGAAGTTGCTGGCATAGCTGTAAGTACATTTGGAGACAATGATGGGCCTCTCTTAACCTTGAAGTCATGGTTCGTGT